ATGGAAAGCGGAAGAATGGGGTGGGGTGATGGAAGAAATGAGAATGGGGCGGGGTGATGGAAAGCGGGAGAATGGGGCGGGGTGATGGAAAGCGGGAGAATGGGGCAGGGTGATGGAAGGAGGGAGAATGGGGCGGGGTGATGGAAAGCGGGAGAATGGGGCGGGGTGATGGAAAGCGGGAGAATGGGGCGGGGTGATGGAAGGAGGGAGAATGGGGCGGGGTGATGGAAAGCGGGAGAATGGGGCGGGGTGATGGAAAGCGGGAGAATGGCGGGGTGATGGAAGGAGGGAAAATGTGGTGGGGTGATGGAAAGCGGGAAAATGGGGTGGGGTGATGGAAAGCGGGAGAATGGGGCGGGGTGATGGAAAGCGGGAGAATGGGGCGGGGTGATGGAAAGCGGGAGAATGGGGCGGAGTGATGGAAAGCGGGAGAATGGGGCGGAGTGATGGAAAGCGGGAGAATGGGGCGGAGTGATGGAAAGCGGGAGAATGGGGTGGGGTGATGGAAAGCGGGAGAATGGGGCGGGGTGATGGAAAGCGGGAGAATGGGGCGGGGTGATGGAAAGCGGGAGAATGGGGCAGGGTGATGGAAAGCGGGAGAATGGGGCGGGGTGATGGAAGGAGGGAGAATGGGGCGGGGTGATGGAAGGAGGGAGAATGGGGCGGGGTGATGGAAGGGGGGAGAATGGGGCGGGGTGATGGAAAGCGGAAGAATGGGGCGGGGTGATGGAAGGAGGGAGAATGGGGCGGGGTGATGGAAAGCGGGAGAATGGGGCGGGGTGATGGAAAGCGGGAGAATGGGGCGGGGTGATGGAAGGAGGGAGAATGGGGCGGGGTGATGGAAAGCGGGAGAATGGGGCGGGGTGATGGAAAGCGGGAGAATGGGGCGGGGTGATGGAAGGAGGGAGAATGGGGCGGGGTGATGGAAAGCGGGAGAATGGGGCGGGGTGATGGAAAGCGGGAGAATGGGGCGGGGTGATGGAAGGAGGGAGAATGGGGCGGGTTGATGGAAACGGGAGAATGGGGCGGGGTGATGGAAAGCGGGAGAATGGGGCGGGGTGATGGAAGGAGGGAAAATGGGGTGGGGTGATGGAAAGCGGGAGAATGGGGCGGGGTGATGGAAAGGGGGAGAATGGGGCGGGGTGATGGAAAGCGGAAGAATGGGGTGGGGTGATGGAAAGCGGGAGAATGGGGCGGGGTGATGGAAAGCGGGAGAATGGGGCGGGGTGATGGAAAGCGGGAGAATGGGGGCGGGTGATGGAAGGATGGAGAATGGGGCGGGGTGATGGAAAGCGGGAGAATGGGGCGGGGTGATGGAAAGCGGGAGAATGGGGCGGGGTGATGGAAGAAATGAGAATGGGGCGGGGTGATGGAAACGGGAGAATGGGGCGGGGTGATGGAAAGCGGGAGAATGGGGCGGGGTGATGGAAGGAGGGAAAATGGGGCGGGTTGATGGAAAGCGGGAGAATGGGGCGGGGTGATGGAAAGGGGGAGAATGGGGTGGGGTGATGGAAAGCGGAAGAATGGGGCGGGGTGATGGAAAGCGGGAGAATGGGGCGGGGTGATGGAAAGCGGGAGAATGGGGCGGAGTGATGGAAAGCGGGAGAATGGGGCGGGGTGATGGAAAGCGGGAGAATGGGGCGGGGTGATGGAAAGCGGGAGAATGGGGCGGGGTGATGGAACGCGGGAGAATGGGGCGGGGTGATGGAAAGCGGGAGAATGGGGCGGGATGATGGAAAGCGGGAGAATGGGGCGGGGTGATGGAAAGCGGGAGAATGGGGCGGGGTGATGAAAAGCGGGAGAATGGGGCGGGGTGATGGAAAGCCAGAGAATGGGGCGGGGTGATGGAAAGCGGGAGAATGGGGCGGGGTGATGGAAAGCGGGAGAATGGGGCGGTGTGATGGAAAGCGGGAGAATGGGGCGGGGTGATGGAAAGCGGGAGAGTCGGGCAGGGTGATGGAAAGCGGGAGAATGGGGCGTGGTGATGGAAAGCGGGAGAATGGGGCGGGGTGATGGAAAGCGGGAGAATGGGGCGGGGTGATGGAAAGCGGGAGAATGGGGCGGGGTGATGGAAAGCGGGAGAATGGGGCGGGGTGATGGAAAGCGGGAGAATGGGGCGGGGTGATGGAAATCGGGAGAATGGGGTGGGGTGATGGAAGGAGGGAGAATGGGGCGGGGTGATGGAAGGAGGGAGAATGGGGTGGGGTGATGGAAAGCAGGAGAATGGGGCGGGGTGATGGAAAGCGGGAGAATGGGGCGGGGTGATGGAAGAAATGAGAATGGGACGGGGTGATAAAAAGCGGGAGAATGGGGCGGGGTGATGGAAAGCGGGAGAATGGGGCGGGGTGATGGAAGGAGGGAAAATGGGGCGGGTTGATGGAAAGCGGGAGAATGGGGCGGGGTGATGGAAAGCGGGAGAATGGGGTGGGGTGATGGAAAGCGGGAGAATGGGGTGGGGTGATGGAATGCGGGAGAGTGGGGCAGGGTGATGGAAGGAGGGAGAATGGGGTGGGGTGATGGAAAGCGGGAGAATGGGGCGGGGTGATGGAAGGAGGAGAATGGGGCGGGGTGATGGAAGGAGGGAGAATGGGGCGGGGTGATGGAAAGCGGGAGAATGGGGCGGGTGATGGAAAGCGGGAGAATGGGCCGGGGTGATGGAAAGCGGGAGAATGAGGCGGGGTGATGGAAAGCTGGAGAATGGGGCGGGGTGATGGAAAGCGGGAGAATGGGGCGGGGTGATGGAAAGCGGGAGAATGGGGCGGGGTGATGGAAAGCGGGAGAGCTGCACTTTCTGCACATGTGCGGATCCTTCCGCGTTTTGGGGGTGGAAGCGCTCGCTCCGAGCGTTTTTCTTCCGCCGAGTCACGTGGCTGCACTTTTCTAGGCCTATTACCAAGCCAGCAAGGGTGTGGGAGGGTTGCGAGCATCATCGGTCATCGGCGCTCGCGAATGAAGAGCGTCTGCTGCACTTCCTGCACATGTGCGGATCCTTCCGTGGTTTGTGGTTGGAAGCGCTCGTTCCGAGCGTTTTTCTTCCGCCGGGTCACGTTGCTGCGTGTGAGAGTACGACGGCTTTGCTGGACTTTACTTGCTTGATTCTGCTTTAGCTTTAGCTTGATATTGCATGCATGTGCTTGATTTCCTATGTTCGTTGAATTACTCTATTTATTATAGTCATAGGCACCGAACTAGGTTGAGTCCACCGAATTCTAAGCTTTTCGGTTGCCACCGAATTGCCTTCTACTGAATTTGGGAAGGACCCGTTCGGGACGCTTCGCGACCCACGGAACCAACTAGTAATAACTGGGTTACTGCCTTTGTGTCGAGCCTATATATAGCCTCGCCTCGTACCCCCGTGAAACATTCAGTAGATTTCTCTTTCCTGATCTAGATCCTCACACTTGGTGATCAGAGCGGGTTTACACGCGAGGTCTTCAACCGCTTAAAACCGGCCATAACCAGCAATGGGGAGTACGGTACAAGTACTAACCCCAATGAGTTGTACCCTCTATGGACTATTCCACTCCAGTCTATATTATAAACATAAGTGTTTTTACAAGGAATTAGGTGGAGGGATTGCTTGCTTGTAGAATAAGATGATTCTGTTAGGGTTATCCTTAATATTTGTATTTTTCCTTCCAACACGATAGCTTTGCTGTGAACGTGTGCAAACAGTGATGTTAAGGAGATATGACAAGAAACGGATAGATTTGAACTAGGGTCGAGGCAGTTTGAACTAGGTTCACTTTATGAAATTCGACTAGAATATGTTATCTTTTAGATTTGCAGGTAGCATATTGCAGGTTACCGAGCCAACTTCAAGATGGCAAATTCGTCCCCTGCCCTCGGGATTGCCTGGATGCACTTCTCGCCAGCTAGGGTTTGATACACCCATCGAACTTTTAGCTCGCCAATCCTTTTATGGCTGATAGACTTGGTCGGACCACAGGTCACCAGAGGTCAGACCCGTTAGGTAGAGCGATGTCTGCAAAGTCGATTAAGTTGCGGGCTCACATTGCGATGCGGCGTTTTCCCTCTGTAACTGACCATGACGCGCGCCGTGAGCGACGGTGAGGGCAGTCCGCCTCGCGTGGTGAATCGCCATCGCGGACCCGGACACCCAGGCCCGGCGGCCACCACTCCACGTGGGGGGCGTAGCCCTGCTTTCGACGACCATATGCTTTCGCCTCGAAATGCCGGGTCCAATGGGGTAGGGGGAGGGGCAGGGGGAGAAGGGGAGTACGGAGCGGGACAGCAGAGGCGGCGGGCGGGGAGCCGGCCGTTGATTCGCGTGAATGAGGGGCAGCAGATGGCGGCGCAGGTGCTGGACGCGGATGAGTACCCGGACCAGTACCCCGAGGAGTACGCGCACGAGTATCCCGAGGAATACGCGCAGGAATACCCCCACGACTACCTTGACGCCAACGACTTCGCTTCCGACTATTTATCGCAGCGAGGGGCCGTGCGACGCGCCTCCGCGCCGTCGCCGTCCGCCGCGGGGTACCAGGCAACCGGCTTGAGCACGTCGCCGCTGCGCTCCAGCATGGGCGCGGCGCTGGGTGCGGGGATGAGCTCGGGGCACGTGCGGTCGGATGCCATTGGGGATAGCGAGGCGGACAGAGGGCGCCACGAGCGGGGCGACCCGCGACGAGGTGGCGAGGCGAAACAAGTGCGCAAGGTGCGAAGTAGGGCAGTGGGTGGGGAGCCGTCATGTAGCCCACGGCGGTGCCTCATCGGGTAGGTGTTGCGACAAACCAATTTTCTCGCGCTTGTCGATCGTCCCCTCCCCCCTCGCCAGTCAAATTTTGCTCAAATTTTTCCATACTCATTTTCCCTCGGTTTGTCGGTTCGCGGCGCCCGATGGGTTGCTCGTGAGGCGCAACGCGCTGCATGGACGCGTGAAGCCAAGCACCCGCCCGCCTGTGCCTCGCGTCCTTTGCGTCTCCCCCACCTCCCTCGCAACCCCTCCGTTCCCCTCTCCTGCTTGCCCCGTCGCGCAGTTCTCGTCGCTACCCAACTATGCGGGCGGCACTGACGGCGCCGCGCACTCACCGCAAGAGTTGATGAGTCCCCGCCGCGTGCCCAAGCCCGCCCGCCCCGCCATGCTCTCGGGCATGGGCATGGGGGGGGCGCCGACGGGCAGCTATCAGGCGTCGTCGCGCGGCGAGGCGGAGGTGCTGCGCGGCGTGCTGGCGCTGCTGGAGGCGGTGCGGGACGACGACGTGGCGCGCGTCAACCGCATCCTGCAGGACGCGCCCTCGCGCACCGCGCTGCTGCACTGCGCGCACCCTGGTACGCCGCGTCTCTCATCCCCCATCCTCAACGTACCCTGCCTTACTTTTCCCTCCTCACTGTTACCCTCCCTTTCTGCTCTTTTCGCACATGTTATCCGCCATTCGCTCCCCCCTCCTCCACGACTCGTCTGCCTCGCTGCGTCTCCTCATTCGCGTCCCACGTGCCTGGCCCATTCGCGTCCCACGTGCCTGGCCCATTCGCGTCCCACGTGCCTGGCCCATTCGCGTCCCACGTGCCTGGCCCATTCCCCACGCCATGCGCGCTTGGCAGGCACGGGGCGGGCGGCGCTGCACGAGGCGGTGGTGGCGGGCAGCGTGGACGCCGCTGCTGCGCTGCTCGAGTGGGGGGCCGACCCCGATGGGGGGCACGCGTCGCAGGTGGGTGGAGCAGTCGGTCCGTTCTTTCCAAGCCCCCAAAGAGCTTTCATGCGTACTTGTATTTTAAGTTCTCCCTTTTCGCTGTCCTTGCCTTGCCTACCCCATTTGCTTTGCTCCCCCCACTCCCCCTTGGGCGTGGGCAGATGCCGCCCATACTGCTGGCGGTGCAGGCGGGCAGTGAGAAGGCGGTGACGCTGCTGCTGTCACACGGCGCCGACATCAACGCTCACGACGCGCAGCTCTGCACCGCGCTGCACTACGCCTGCGCTGACGCCCACCGGTACCCCTCCTCCACCTCCCCCCTCGCCACACCCTGTCCCATCTCATCAGTCCCATCCTGCCTCACCCCTTTGTCACCTCTCCATCTCTGATGCTCCGGGTTGCAATATGACTCAATGAGCCATGTGTTTTTTATGTACCACATGTGGTGGATGTGCCACGTGTATTGCTATCATCTGCCAGTCTGTTGTTCTATTCATCACATGCACAACTCCTCAGGGGCTGGTTCGAAAACACTCTCATGCGCTATGCCCGCCTTGACCTGCTCGCATTCTGAGTCCTTGCTCCCACCTGCTGCTTCTGCCCACCCTTTTCTGGCGGCAGGGGCATGATAAAGCTGCTGCTGGTGGCGGGCGCCAACATGTATGCGCGCAACAGCGACGGGCTGCTGCCGCAGCAGCTGGCGTCCACGGACCGCATCCGAGCGCTCTTCTCCAAGCTGCACGACTACCACCACCGCCACGGCCTCCTGCCTCCCCATGCTCACCTCGCCTCCTCCGCCACGCCCGCTGCTGCCATGGCCGCGTCCCCCCCCGCCAGCCCTGGCGGCATGGACCGGCGCAGCCCGCATGAGGGGGGGCTGCTGGGGGACGACTCGTGGGACGACCAAGGTGTGCCTCCCCTTCCCTGCTCTCGCTCCACTCCCCTCGGGCACGAACCATCACCACTCGCTGCCGCTGCTGTGCTTCACACTGTCTCACAGCGCGTCATGCCCCGTCCCTTTGTGCCCACCCGTGCCCCGCCCTCCTCCTCACCCCCCCACCCCCTCCAGGCGTAAACGGTGTGGCGTCGCACCGAGTGGCGTCCCCCCGCGCCGGCATGGCGCGCATGAGGGCCGCCGCCTCCGCTGCTGTCGAGGCCGCCACTGGGGGCGGCGCGGGCAGCATGCGCGGACGCTTGGCGGGCGACCGGTGGGGGGGGCGCGGGGATGAGTGGGGCAGCGGGGGGGGCAGTGAGAAGGAGGCACGGCGGGGGGGACGAGGGGAGGAGGGGTATGAGAGTCCTGCGGAGATGGTGGAGAGCAACGAGCAGATCTTCCAGCAGGCGTGGGAGAACGACCGCCACGACGACTCGCCCGCTCTCCCCTGGCCCTCGCCCTCGCCCTCCGCCTCCTCGCCTGCCGCCCCCTCCGCCACCACCCCGCCCAGCAGTAGCAGCAGCACGGGTGGGAGGGGCGGAGGCGCGGAAGGGGAGGAAGCAGCGCCGACGGCAGCGGTGGCGCGGCGGCAGGTGCAGATGCACGTGAGGGACGCGGCACGCACGCTGTCGGTGGAGTCGGGGGGCGCGCACTACCAGCGCCGCATCGTGGCAGCAGCAGCAGCAGGGGACGCCAGCAGCATGTCGGACGCCGAGGGTGGCTCTGGCCCCCGCACCCGCCACGCCCCCGCTGCCGCCTCCCTCAGCGCCGGCGCCCGCGGCGAGGTGTCCCGCCTCGCCCGCCCCCGCAACTTTGCAGACTTCCGCGCGGAGCGACTTGTGGGTGGCGGGGCGGGGGGCGCCGGGGGAGGGGGACCCAGCACCCCCAGGGGCGGGGCAGGGACGCCAAGAGGAGGGGAGGGGGGCGGGAGGGCAGGAGGGGGGGGAGGAGCCGGGGGGGCATCCACGCCCAGGAGGGTGGGCGCTGAGCGAGTGGGGTCGGATGATGACGTGGAGGAGAGGGCGGCAGGGGGAGGGGGAGGGGGAGGGGGGGGGGGAGGGCAGCGAGAGAAGGGGATGGGAGGGCGTGTGGGGCCGGGGGGCAGTGGCGTGGAGAGGCGGGGGGCATCCACCCCGCGCGCCGTGCGCGACAACCCCTATGCCTCCTGGAACGGCGGCGCCCTGCCAGACAGAGGCTCCCTGGCGGACAGGAGTGGGGGGAGCGCGGGCAGTGCGGGGGACAGGCAGCCACACAGGTCAGTCAGCTCAGAAGAACGGCAGGGGGAGGGGATGGGGAGCGGGGGGAAGGGGGGAGGGGGGAAAGGGGCAGCGCATTTGAGGCAGGTGAGGGACAGTGGCAGTGCGGACAGTGACAGCGAGGTGGTAAGCCGGCGGTCTCGCGCCATCAAGGCTGCAGCCGGGGGCGGCCCCTCCACGCCCTCACGCTCCCCTCCCCCCTCCGACTTCTCCCGCCGCTTCTCCTCTCTGCGCGTGGCTGATGGCGCCGGGCAGCGCGCCGGCAGCCCCGGCAGCAGTGCGGGCGGCGAGGAGGACGCGGGCAGGCGCGGGGGCGCAGGCAGTGCAGGCAGTGCGAGGCCGAGGAGTCCGCTGAGGGGCGCGCAGGCAGCGCCGTGCGACGACGACAGCAGCCCGCGCACGCCCACCGGTGGATCGGCTCCCCCATCGGGTGCAACGGCTGGGGGAGGTGGCGGCAGCAGCAGTGGCGGCGGCGTTGGCGGGGGGCGCATGACTCCGCGGGGGGGCCGCGAGCGCAGGTCCGTGAAGTTCGCCGTGCCCGAGGGGGGCGACCGCGACCGGGGCAGGCCCGGGAGCAGTGGCTTGGACGAGGGAGGTGCGAGCGAGGGCAGGGGGAAAGGCAAGGACGCGAGCGAGAGGGCAGAGAGAAAGGAGCGCAGCGATCGCAAGTGCCAGTCGTTTGTGCCGCCGTCGTCAGCTGGTGCAGGCAGGAAGATGGGTGCGGCATCGGTGTCCGAGGAGGACCTGAAGCTCATCCGCACCGACTGGCGCGACGACGCTGCCAGGAACGGGTGTGTTGCGTGCGGGCAGGTGCAGTGCGAGTGCAAGACCCGGCCCGAGAACAGAGGTGCTGCGGCGAAGACAGGCACGGGGGATGATGTGAAGGCGGGAGGGAGCAAGGAGGGCAAGGAGAAAGGCGGGGGGAAGGAGCAGGAGAAGCAGGAGAAGGCGGGGCAGAAAGAGGCAGGGGGGCAGGGTGGGGAGGAGGAGGAAGACGAGGCGGTGCCGGAGGAGCTGCTGCAGGACGACCCCGAGGTGTCCCCGCTGGGCACCATGAAGTGGAAGCGCGGCGAACTGCTGGGTGAAGGGGCGTACGGCAAGGTGAGCTGCTGGGTGAAGGGGCGTACGGCAAGGTGGAGTGCTGGGTGAAGGGGCGTACGGCAAGGTGGGCCACGCCACGCCATCACACTGCTTCCCACCTGCCCCTCCACACTGCCGCGTTTTTTCCCCCCTTGCCACCTCCCCCCATTCCCGTTGCTTTCTCTCATGCTCCTGCCTCACTCCTTCCCCCTCTCGTCATCCCCACACCCCCTGTGGGGCGGGGCAGGTGTTTCTGGGGCTGAACGAGCGCACGGGCGAGCTGATGGCGGTGAAGCAGATGAAGATCAACGCGGGCGACGAGCGCGCCATGCACATCGCAGCCTTGGAGCGCGAGATCGTGCTGTACCGGCGCATGCGGCACCGCCACATAGTGGGGTACATCGACATGGAGAAGGACCCCTCCGACGGCTCCATCTACATCTTCCTCGAATTCGTCTCCGGTGGCTCCATCCACAGGTGGGCTTTAAGAGAAGGACTCCATCCACAGGTGGGCTTTAAGAGGGCGGCTCCATCCACAGGTTGGCTTTAAGAAAGCGGCTCCATCCACAGGTGTGCTTTAAGAGGGCGGCTGCATCCACAAGTGGGCTTTAAGAAGGGGGCTCCATTCACAGGTGGGGCTGCATCTTGTATCTGTGTGCATCTCCAGTGCTCCTGTATGTATCACTGCGCATCCTCACTTCTCCTGTCCCATCCTCTCCCGTTCCCCTGTCCCCTGTGTGCCCCGGCATCATCGCTTGAGCTTGGCAGCATGTTGGAGAAGTTTGGCAAGTTCAGCGAGTCGCTGGTGCGCGTGTACACTCGGCAGCTGCTGCTGGGGTTAGAGTATCTGCACCGCTGCAAGATCATTCACCGCGACATCAAGGGCGGCAACGTGCTCGTGGACCGTGATGGGGTCATCAAGCTCGCTGACTTTGGGGCCTCCAAGGTGCGCGCCTCTCCCCACCACCCACATCGACTCCTGCATGCGTGCTCTCTTCTACCCATCATCTGTGGTTTGTGCCTGCCTTCAATATGTTCCACGGCGTCCCCTCTTCCGTTTCTCACAACAGCCTGCACTATCCACTACCATTTCCGCTCAAGTCTTATCCTTCTTCCTCTCCCCACACCCCCCCTCCCCTGCGTGCAGGCGTTTCAGGAGGGGACGGTGGGAGAGGGGTGCAAGTCGATCCGCGGGTCGGTGTTCTGGATGGCGCCCGAGGTGATCACGGGCGCGGGGTACGGCCGCAAGGCCGACATCTGGAGCCTCGGCTGCACCGTCATTGAGATGCTCACCGGCAGGTCAGGGCTGCACCGTCATTGAAGGTGGCAATGGCAATGGGTTGTGAGGGGGTGACACTCTGCTGAACGGGGTGTGTGTGCCGCCCGCACGCAACCAGCATGCGAGTCCAAGGGAGCGCCCGGTGGAGCCATGTGCAGCGCGTGCATGGAGCTGGATCACTGCTGACCTGGGAGTTTGAGCTCTCTGCATGCACAATGTGCTTCTTTTGTGTGATGCTTGTGGTGGAAGGTGTGTGATTGCCGTTCCGATTGTGTGCCACCCTCAACCCGTATGCCTGTGCGCCACTCTCATCCTGTCCCTGTGCATGGCATGGCACATGCATGCATGCGTCTGTCTCCCCTGCCCCGGTGCAGCCACCCATGGCCGGGCATGGACAACACGTGGTCGGCCATATTCCACATCGCCAAGACCACCACGGGCCCGCCCACCCCTGAGGAGAGCAGCGACGAGGGCCGTGACTTCCTCGCCGCCTGCTTCCAGCTCGACCCCGCCCTCCGCCCCTCCGCCGCCCAGGTCAGTGCCTCTGCTGCATACGTCTTTGCCTCTGCTGCCCAGGTGGGTGCTTCTGTTACTCGGGTGTGCCTCACACCTGAAAGGCGTTAGAGAATGTACAAGTGCGTGTGTTGTAACAAGGCTGTTGCTGCAGGGCGTGCTGCTGGTGTGCCTCATGCCTGAACGCGTTAGGCAATGGGTTCACAAAGTTGCACCAGACCAGGCATTGCCACACAGTTGCACCAGACCAGGCATTGCCACACAGTTGCCTGGGGCTGGCTTGGGACACCAGATGCACCCCCAATCTATTCATTCCTTTCTTAAAGCGACGGTGCACATTTGCCACCCGAAACCCAAAACCCTGGCGAACTGTTACTGAGGAGGAAAAGTGTCCACACGAAATCCAGGTTTTCGCTAGTCAACACTTTCGCGCTGGCAAGCCTGGTTCAAAACAAAAACTTCTGAACCCCCGCTTGTCAAATCTAGACCCTCGTTTTAAGCCTGCCCTGAAACATCAAGCTAGCTCCATCATCACCCCTCCTCACTAGCCATCCGCCGCTTCTATTCCCCCCCTGCGGTGGTGCAGCTGCTGCAGCATCCCTTTGTGCAGGTGCCCGACACGCCCCGGGATGCACGCATGGCCGGCTTCGGATGACCACCCTCCCTCCCCCCATCCGTGCTCTCTCGGCACTGCCTCGTGTGCTTCACGCCTAACCTAACATTGCTGTTTGAGTGCACCATATCTATCGGGTGTGTTGTGCTAAATCAAAGTGCAGTGTTTTCATGGTCATGCAGCAAAGGTTGTAGGAATGCATGTGTAAAATAAGCAGTGGTATATTGAGAGCTTGCTAGTCTGCAGCGTGAAGGCATCAAGGCTCCATAATACTGACTAAAGACAACACGATGGCATGTCGTCTCGGGCACAAGTACAATTGTCACAAGTACCGTACATGCTCCTCTACAACCCTAGGTCTGCATTTTCCACTTCCTACCCGCATGCCTCCTTCCTTTGCCTTTCTCTCTGCCGCTTGCATCTCCACCCCGTGTCTGCCCATGCACCTGCCCCAGCCACCTCAGCAGCCACACCACTGCGGGTCTGTTAGCCCTTGGCTTGCCTGCCTCCCCCACCCCACATGCTGGTCATCGCAATGGCTGCAGCCTGCAGAGCATGTGCACGCTACAACCCTCTTCCATGTGTGCCCCTCAACGCACCGTGTGCTCATGAGGTCCGTATGTACACCCACGTGCCGCCCCCAGTCCCTCCCATCTCCTGCCAGCTTCACCTGTTGAGGGCCCTGTGCCCACCTCACACTCTGCACTCCTCCACTCCCCGCCCCCCATCCGTGCACCAAAGGCATCCCTCGCTCCCCACCACGGTCTTTAGTGACGGGCACCAAGCACACACACACACACACTCACTCTCATTCGCACTCGCACTCGCTGCAGCAGCCGGCATGCTGGTGCCAGGGGGCTCCGGAGGGCACGCCAGCCACGCGTCCACTAGAGCCTCTGAGGCGTCCTCTCCGCCCGCCACCCTGCTCTCCGCACGTGCGCCCATAGCAGCAGCGGCAGCTGGGTCCTGGGGCGTGCAGATTGGCTCGTCCAGCACGTCACTGTCGTTGTTGCTCTCATCGCCCCCCTCTCCGCCCTTCCCTGCTGTCACCGCCCCACTCGCCTGCCCTCGCCCTGCCCGCCCCTCCTTGCTGTCTTCCTCCGCCTGCCCCAACTGCGCAGCCCTCCTCTCCGCCAGCTGCTGCAGCACCCTCGCGATTGTTCCCGCCTTCTCATCTGCATCACCCCGCCCTGCTGCGCCCATCCCCGCCCACTTGGGATGCGCACTGCGATGTGCGCGCGCCACCTGCGCCAAGCAGTGGGGGAACGCTGCAAGTGGCGGGGGGTGAGGCGGGGGAATGGGGGTGCCGACGGCCTGCTGTGGAGCGGCGGAGGTGGAGGCGGCGGAGCAGGTGGCGTGGCGCGGGTATTCGCAGTCGAGGGCAGAGCGGGGGGGCGGATCCAATGGCTCCGATGACTCCGCGCGCAGCGCTGGCGCGACTGGCGCCACTCCCGTCGTTCCCTCGCTTCCCCACCGTCGCTGCTGGATTTTTCTAAGCGCCTCGACCACCCCTGGCTGCGCTACGCTCGCGCGTTCCCAGCCGCGGCTAGCAGGCTGAAGGGAAGCGGCGGAAGGGAAGGCAAACACGAGGGCGTGGGGGAGTGGAGGGCAGCGGGCGGCAAGGTGGCACGGGGGGCCCAGGGGCTCGCGGGCGAGCGGCATGGCATCCAGCGCCGCAGCTGCGGGGGGGTCGGCCGTTGGAAGGCCGTCCGCGCGACGAGGCGAGTCGCGCCCGCACACAGCACCGGCTGAGCCGCTCACCTTCTGCTGTGCGGCAGAGGCGGAACCACGTGCGGCCACAGAGTCGATCCGCGCGCGCTCCTCCTTAAGGTCGTCCATGCGGGCCCTGCGGCTCGACTGGTCGGCGGAGCTCGTGCGCGCGCTCGTCGCAATGTCGCAGTGAATCTGGCCGACGTTTCGAGTTCCTGCGGGGTTCTTCGAGCGAATCAGTTGCGTCAGCGCGTCCGCCACGGTCCCGTTGTTCCGGGGCGCTCGTGTCGCGGGAGGATGGTTGAGTATGCGGCTCGCGGAGTCCTCGCATCGTGTCAGCCTCCTTCGCTTCGCAGCGGGTGCGGCTGCTAACGAGCTCCGCAAGCTCGTCGCGGCGGCGGGACGAGCGAGCGGAGCTGGAGGGCAGCGCTCATGGCTGGCGCGGCCCGGCGGGCACTTGGAGGCGCGCTTGAACGTGAAATGCGAGAGGCGGGTGGGCCCCTGACACATGATGGCGGTTGCTGAAACGAAACCCTGGCGCAATGTCGCGCGCGTGTGAAACGAATGGTGTCGTGCACTATGGCGAGATGCAGTGCTAGAATGGCGGTTCGATGAACGGAGCTGAGCCTCAGGAACAAGCATGTTGCTAGTAGATGCTGAATGACTAAAGCATTTTACTACTGGACTGGACGTGCTGAAATGGTAGATCTCCTGGGACAGGTTGGGGGAGGGAAGGACTGAGGAGGGTGGGGGTTGGGGCAGATACATCCAAGGAAGTCACGGTGGGGGGCGGAGGAGTACGTGCAGGCGATAGGGCAGTGTGGTGGGGGGAGCGCGCGAGCGAGGTGGATTGCCGACAAGACGAGGTGGAATCCGCCTGACTTGCCTCGCTGGCACTATTCCCCGCCACGTTGCTTTCGACATGGCGTGTTGCATTGGTCAGTCGAGTGCGAAGTCAGCAAAGCACGAGCAAATCACGGTGTTCACAACGCAGGCGCCTCGCAAGTCACTCCCACCATCTTTTTGTTATGTTACGTGTGTAATTGTTATAAGTTGTTAGGCTCCTTGGCCTAAATCCGCTAAAGATTAGCGGGGTCGACTAAGTCGAGGATGAAAGCGCGGCGGAAGACTTTGGCGAAAGAACTATTGGCGAAATAGGCGAAGATGTTACTGAGTAATTGAAGAGTTGAATGAGAATTGGTTGATATGAGGAAATACAAGCAAGGTTGATATAGCATGCAAGAGCAATTGCGGGAAAGTGGGTTGTGGGATTAGGAACTAGAAGGCAAAGAAAGTAGAGTGCCATGTGGCACTAGGAAATCTAGGAAGATAAGGATAAGGGTGGGTTGGAAAATACTGTTCAAAGTGAACAGTAAATCTCCCCTTAACATAAGTTGTACGAAAGAAGAGTGCGCAGAATGCAATATCACGGAATTGATTACAACGTCTGAGCAAACAACGAGACCTAGGACTAATATAGCGATGCTAGCTAGGCCGGGGCCGTGGAGCCGCGAGATGGTTGGGTGCAGGTTTGGGGTTGGAAAATCCGAAGGCGACGCTATGGTGGTTCGGAGGGCGAGGTCGTCGGACCGAGCCTGTTCTCCGAAAACCGGAGTTGTACGCGTACAGTGTGACCCAGTAAGGAATCACGGAAAGTTACTTACACTACCCCCCCTTTAAAAAATGTGGTATATATCGGGAACACCCCGGCGGGTCAGGTAAGCATCCACAACTGGATGTCCTTGTAGCGAGTCTGCGGCGACGTACGTGTCGTCTTCGTTCGTGCGATCCTTCCAGCGAAGCAAGAAGATGACCTTACGGTAGCCGTTAGATCCACGCGATGATTCAAGATCTTCCATGGTTCAAGCGTGGGTTCTGCTGCAGGTCGTGTGGTCGGCGCGATGTTCGGTCGGGCGACGGTTGGCGACTGCAGCGACTCATATGGACGTAGCAAGCTGGCGTGGAATGCGTCATGTATTTTCTAATCGTCGGGCAGTAGCAGGTTCGCCGTGACAGGTGTCACCATTTGGACGATGCGGAAAGGTCCGACGTATCGGGGCCGAAGTTTCGCAGGCTGGGGCAGGCAAATATGTTTCGTGTCTAGTAGTACCACTTGCCCAGTGCAGAAGGGTAAGTCTCGTCGGTGCTTGTCTGCATTGAGACTGGCCATGGTATTAGCCTTGCGAATAAAATCAACGGCCTTTTTACGGGCGGTCTGAAGTTTCGTAAGAACTGCTGCGATCGTGGTACCGGTTTGTTGAGCGACGTTGGCGAGGGTACCACGGGGTCTATCCCGTAATTCAAATAAAACGGTGATTGTTTGGTCGTGGCGGAGGGTGCGCTGTTATACGCAAACTCCAGCATTGGGAGCGAATCCTCCCACTTGGTCAGGTCGGGGCAGTTGGTGTGTATCAGCTGCTCCATGTTCTGATTGGTCCTTTCGGTCCGTCCATCAGTTTGCGGGTGATACGACGACGAAAACTGCATATTTCGGCGGGTGCCGTACTGTGCCCACGTCTCCTGCCAGAATTTCGACGTGAATTTCGGATCTTGATCGCTGATGATCGCCGAAGGTAACCCGTGTAGGCGTACGACGGTGGAGATGAACAGCTTCGTTGTATCTTCGGCTGTGATCATCGTTCGGCATGGTGCGAAATGCGCCATTTTTGTTGACCGGTCAACAACGACCAACATCGAGTCGTTGCCACTTGCGCCAGCCGGGAGCCCCGTGACGAAATCCATCGTCACCTGTTGCCACGGTCGTTCGAGTGGCTTGAGGGGTTGCAGCAGTCCAGCTGGCCGTTGTCGCGACGATTTCATGGCTTGGCATGTCGGACATGTTGTCACGTAGCGCTGTACGCCCGTTAACATGTCGATCCAGTAGTAATTTCGATGCAGCAACTTAAGTGTTTTGTCGATGCCGAAATGACCGGAAAGGTTGGAGTCATGTACCTCCTGCGTCAACAACTCCTGTAGGGCTGGTAGGCGGGCACCCAAATCCGGTTCGTACCGGCCTTTAGGTAATATTTGGCATGTTGCGTAGTAGCCCGTCGGTGAAGGTTCTTGAAAAACCTGTCGATCTGGTATCCATGGGTAAATAGTCATGTCAGCATCGGATTGGCACGGACGATTAGTACCGCTGCTGTCTGCATGGATGGGCGGGTCAAGGCGTCGGCGATGTTGTTGGCGCCTTTCTTGTACGTGATGGTGTACCGAAAATTGGACTCGGTAGTCCAACCACTGGATTTGTCGCGGGTTGAGTGTAGGTTGCGTGCGCATGTACTGTAGCGATTTGTGGTCAGTTCGGATCGTCACGTCGGCTCCCGTAAGGT